ACTCAGCTATTATGGAAGAATGGAACCTGTCACAGGAGCACCATGTTTTAGTAGAGGTTTGTGTTTGTGGTGTAATTTGGTTTATTTTGGGGTTGTTTCTTTTTGTTAATGTATTTTAATGCTTCTTCCTATTTAGGGCTTAAAATAAGATGAACTCTCACTCTTCAAGAACAAACATAGTGTTCTTTTTGCATGAATGTATAACTGTTGTACAATAGTGGTAGCAATAGGATTCCTAAAACAAATGTTTATCAATCAGAGGATCCTAAAGGTCACAGCACACACACAGGAGTACACTTTCCTTTTCCAGCAGAAAAATGCAATATTCTCTCTGTGCTCAGCTTTGCTGTGAGTGTTGCATCCACATCCTCCAAGACAGCTGAAAGGAAACACTTGGGGTGTTTAGCTGTAGTGTTTCTGGCTGTGGAACTGTGATTGGAGGCCATTCTTTATCATTCGATGATGAGCAATACTGTTGAGTGGTTCTGATGAGGAAGGTTTCTTTCTTGCTGGCTCTTCTTCGGACTTCTGCAATGTTCTGTCTTGAGCTTTTGGATCTTCAGAATGCTGGATTGACTTAAATGTTGTATCTGAATATGTTGGGATAAAAGTAGCATTCAAATACTGGGCAGCAAATCACAGCTCTGGGGAAGTGGGGAAGAAGTGGCAAAAACCAAAAATGGTGGTTGGGAATGGTCAAGAGCCTCAAGCTTCTGCTTTGAGTGTTTTCTTTTGGTTTTCTGAGAACAATTAGGACCTCTTTATCCAGAATCCCCATGTAATTGTTTTAGAAAACCTGAGTGTGTGTGGGAAGAAATCCCACTTCTGTTTCACAGCACTTTTTTTCTTGAGAATGTATTTGTAGCCTTCTCTAAATCAGCATATTCTCAGTCAGTTTATCTGGAAGGGAAAGACTTCACCAGTGGTGAACATTGTAACTTACAGGACTACTTCGGATATAAAATGTACACTTGTATGGCATAACTAAATTAGCAAACAAACCCTTGCCAATGAGGGACACATTGGATGATCCTCTCAATTTGCATGTTATTTCTCTTCTAAAGTGTCCCCTACCTTGTCTGTTGTAAGCAGTAGTTTGGGGGTTTTTTATTTCCCAGTTACTCTTGTTTGTGTACCTGAGTTTATTAGGCAGGTTTTTCATATTATTGCATGTACTGTATTTTTTACTTACAATCAGTGTTTGAATATAGAAATGGGACCAGGTTTTCTACTTTTCTAGTTAAGCTGTCTTGGTTATGAAAGAGCTAGTCTCTAAATCAATTTGTAATGTCTGGCTTTTTGGTTCGGTTTTGATTTAATCTTGTTTTCAAGTGTTAGATGAAATCTTACTAAACTGAGGATCTTCCTGGCAGTGGCAACAGTTGAAAGGTTAAAATGAAGAAATTAGAAGTCTGTATCGACCCTCTTCCTACAAATTGATTATTCCTGGGTTTTGAGTCTTCACTGTGAACTAGCCCTGTGACATTAGGAGACGTTTTCAGACTGATCTCATTGAAGTCCTTAGGTTGTGAAGATTAAACTAACTTTAGGGCAACTGTTTGGTAAGTTGTCTGGCTGACAAAACATGACCTGCAATGTTACAGGACCATTTCTGATTGTTAAATCTGTGTGTATGTGGTGCTGTGTTTCGTTCTATAAGTTGTTACCCAATTGTCCTGTAAAACTAAGTACTTCTGATTCTTATGCCACTGTGTGAATTCAGTACATGAATGTTTGAAAGCTTATGGAAATTGTGTTTCCTCTGGGTATTTCATTAGCTTGCAAATATGAAATGAGTTGATGCTGTTACATTCAAATTCCCAGCGAGCTGTTGATTTCATTTTGTTAAGCATTGTTACTGATGCCTTAGTTGAAAGGTCAAAGAATCTCAGAGGTAACTAAGCTCTGACAACTAGAAGTATACATAGAACAAAAATGAGATTCATATAGCAGGAAGCCATGTCAGGGGAAGCTTGCCTAGCTGTTGCAGATGTCTTTGGGTGACTATTAGTTTTCTAGCAGTGCTTTCTCTGGTAACTTTGAGGAGTAGTAACCAGCTAGGGACATGCAAGATACACAGGCAGCATTTAAACCTGATGAAATCAAGCAAAACTATAGTGTGACTCAGTGGCCTGCAAAAGCTGAGCTGCATAGATACCAAGTGTTTGTATTTAGAGGTAAACTTCTGAAAGAGTGCATGAGAGTTAACATTTGTATCAGCCACTTAGGAGGGAATTGAGTTGTTAATGCAAATAAAGACTGCTAAGACTCTTCTTTAACTTCAAGGTCGTGCACATATGTGCAGAGGTCCTTTTGCATCTTCATACATGTATGCATGGCTTTCCAGTGAAACTTCTTGTTATTTGTTTAAAATGCTCTGTTATCTTCTGTTAAATAGGCAAAAAATCGGTGCACTACACCTCTAGCTATTGAAACTGCACAGTATTTCAGCTTTATCTGTCCATGCATACAGGTAGTATTATCATACAGTGTTATCACATTGTTTGGTGGTTGCTTATTTTTTTTACCAGCCGTGTAATCAGTATGTCAAAGATTTTTTTGTTGCCCTTAGGTGTCTTCTGTGAGAGATTCTCCCTTTGCCCTCAGTCTTTGTAAGCATGGTAAGATAGTTAAATAGAAAGGGAAAGATCGGGTTTGGTTTAGTTCCTTAAGACATCAGGAATGAATGATTGGTCTTAAATTTGACAGAGTTTGTATGTTAGTCATGCTTAACTGAGAAATGGAAAATCAGTCAATGTGGAATTCTGTAGCTGTTCAAGTGAATGTTCCCTTAAGTGCCATGTTAGAAATCAGCAATATGCGGTACAAGAACTCTGAATCACAGAACATAAGTGACGCTATTTTCGTAAAGATTGATGTAAATTAAAAATAAATTGTTTATTACTTTACAGCTTGCTCTGGTTCTTTTTTCTTTTTGTTTTTCCTGTAACAGAGGGAAATGACTGCAGGTGCCATCAGGACAAACCAGTAGCAAAGCTGGTGTTATTGTCTCAATGTGATTTGAGAGAGTCTCTATAAAGGAATGTAGATAGAAATCTGGCTGTGAAGCCTGAAGATGTGAACTAGTGACATGTTGCATGCAGGGGATGCTGACTGGGTAAAGTGATGATTAGTGTCCTTAGTTTCTCAGGAGACAAGGGAAGGGGAGATTTAAACCTGTGTGAGCATTCACAGACTTCCTAGGAAGTCTATGATTCTATGTGCATTTGTATGGTATCTCCTGTACCAAAAGTCTTTTTAGTAGTCTTGGGCACTGATGTTCTACTAAAGCCTGTGGTAGCCAAGTGCATAATTATAGCTGCTTTGAAAATGTGAAGTACTGAACTAATTTGTAAATCTAGTCTCAATGTCTGTCTTTGAGATCTGATTTTTGCATTTTGGAGTTACCTTGGCTCCCTTAAAGAGGCTATAGAGTACCTCAGCTACTTCAGATATGAAACTTAACAGCAAAATGTTTGTGAGGGAGGAAAAATAAAAGTTGGAAGAGTTGGGAGATCACTTTAATTGCATGTCCAAGCAGATCTTTCACAGTAGAGGTACGTAGTTCCCTATTCTTGTCCTCTGGCTCTGCTACAGACTGGCAAGCTGTTAAGAGCAGATACTGCCAGGGTTGGAAATGTGTTCAAAGGGGTTGCAAAACAGGATAGAGAGCAGCAATTGAGGCACGACATAACTATGGCCTAAGGACCTCCTATCCTGTATACTGAAAGTCTAAGTCAAAGGAATAAGCAGAAAATGCTGGGAAGAGAGTGCACAGGGAGTGATGTCTTCACTTGGATGCTTGGAATATTTACGTTGTGTTCCCCTAGCAGCTGCTGTGGCCTCTTAAAGAACAGCTGAGGCTCCTGTTTCCTGCTTGATGCATCTGTTCCCAGTGGAATTGCAACAGGGATGTGGCTGATGTGTATAGCTGATGTATGTTGTTAAATACTTTATCCATAAGAGCCACATTAGAAAGGATAAACACAGCTTGCCTACTCTGAACTGAGACCAAATACCTGCAGAGTCTCACTCTCTGTTCTGGGTGTCCCAGAGGTGCAGAGAACGCACTGAAATCTGCTGGCATTGCAATGTGTCAGGTGTTCATTCTGTGGGATTTTCAGAAGTGCTAAACATAGCTTCCTTATCTGCAGCTCCTTGACCTCACTGGAAGCAGAATCCATGTAGTGCTGAAGCTGTAGGAATTCCCACACATGAAGTGCATTCACTCAGATAATGCAAAGGAAGGGTGTGCTCTGCCTTGGAAGTTTCCCCCCTGGAAAAGAAGGTAAAAGGTTCAATCACAAGCAAGTTAGTAGAATGGTGTTTTCATCATGGTACTACGCTAAGGAAGGCATGCCTCTCTACAGTTATACCCACTTACAATGCTAGTTTTACAGAGGATTAGACTAGAAAGCAAAGTTCAGGACTGTATATTGAATGTGATACTAAAAACCCTAAACAGCTACTAAATAAGAAACCAATCTCTTCTCTACCCTCAAATAGTCTGGGGTGTTGTAAAGAGAGGTGATGAAAACACTCAACAGTAGAATACGCCTGGTGCAAATTAAGATGATTTTGGCCTTAAGGTTCTCCTAGCTTTGAGTAACTGCCTCCTACCTGATGTTTCAAATGAGGTGTACCTTCTGTGTGTACAAAACCGTTAAGTTTTTGCAGTGAGCTGACTCTGAGACTTCAGGCTTGAGCTGAAGAGCTGACTGTGGTGTCTCCAGGCACTGTGACTGGTGATTAAACTGTGAAATAAGCTGTTTACCTGGGACTCCCCCTTTGGAACATAAGGTATGGGCTTCCTTCTTTATCATTTCCTAAAGGAGATAGAGACACATGGTTAGTAGATGCTGCAGTGTTTGCTTGTGCTGCCTGCTTCAAATGGTACTCAGCTTTGAGTTTTTCTTCCTGTTCTTGTCCTGTATGTGCACAAAGGCTTTTGTCCTGATTGCCAGAGATGTTACAAAGAAGTTTGTTAGTGTTCTAAGGGTAAACAACTAAACCACCTAAGAGCAGCATCTTACTTAAGCAGAACCTGTATTTTGGCTTGCAAACCCTATGGACGTGGTGTCAGGGATGAGATTCAACCTACCTTTGCTCTTCTTTGTGACCTTGCAGGGCTTGCCAGGAGACATTAAATTCAAATCGGGGTTATTCAAGGACTGGGGAGAGCTTGTCCTGATTTGTGTTCTCTCAGGTCAAACCATGCTGTTTTGTCCTTGCAGCTAAGAGCAAACAGAAGAGGAGGCCTTCCCTTTGTGCCCTTTCCCCTGAGAATTTGGAGGAGGATTGCTGTGACTTTCATGTGATCACGTCACATTGTAGAACTAAAGGTGAGGAATGAAATATCTCTAATTTCCCTTTCAAAGCGCTCTGAACTCTTCCACTGCCCTCTGAAAACTTGATTATTGCTCCCATTTCCCGTCCTCCACCCTGTGTAATAGCAGATGCAGCCACTTTGCTTTCGGAACTGGGGGAGCTGGGTGGAACTCCTGGGCTGTGAACACCACTCCCAGGGCAGGCGAGCAGGGGCACAGTTCAGTCCTCTTCACTTGGAACAAGTCTGGAGCCAAGTTCCTTTTGAGCTGCGATAATAACAAGAACTGCCCAGTATAAGATGCTTTTAAAGTTCATCTATCATTGCAACTGATTTCAATGGAAACAGCCTGCCCATTTATGTGTGATAATTTTCTATAGCTTTACTTCATCTTAACCATGTGGAGGATTGGAAGTGAAGGCAGCCTGGCATTCACGTGTGATTTCAAGGTGTGAACGATACCACATCCTTCCTCATTAACAAGTGGTGGGTATTAACTTGCCCAGAATAAATTTAAGGTTAACGAACAGTATTTATTGCAGATGCCGTCTTGACAAGTGAAGAGGGAGACAGCCTAGTTTTAAAGGTTTTGGGAATGTCTTTAAGACAGGAGAGTGACCACATGTCATTGTTGGTAGCCAACATCTGGTCTAGGGCAGTATAAACAGTACTGGAAACCAGTATTGCAAATGTTTGCTATAGTAGTGCATGTTCTGCATTTTGAGACGCACGATGAGGGCTGGAAACCTGTGCTGCTCTTCGTTCCACAAGCCTGATGCTTACTGGGTAACGCTGAGTTTCAGACCACACAGTAAACTATATAGTCTTAGACAGAACAAGGCTTCTGCAAATGAAGTGCCTCTCTAGTGCATTCACCTCCTCAGCCGTATTTTCTTTGTATTGTTTTCACACATCCCGCATCTACTACAGCAGAAGAAATGGGGTCCTCTCAGAGATACTCCCTCAGCAGCCTGGGTGCGCGGTGCTGCTCCGGAAGGCTTTGTAAGAGCCAAGCCCCGACCGACACCTCAGCTGCGGGGACGCGGCGCTGTGCCTGCCCTGGTGCTGGGGCTGTTGCCCGGGGGGTGCCGGCAGGCCGCGCCCCCACAGCCCAGCCGTGCTGCCGGAGCCACGGACGGGCCTGCCCGCGTGCCCCCCACCGCAAGCCCCTCACGGGGCCGCCAGGGGGCGCGGGCTGTCCCCCGCGGCGGGGCGCCCCTCCCACCGGCTGCTCCGGTGAGCGGCCTTGGCGCCGCCCCTCGGCCTCCTCCCGCCCCGCGCGGCCGGCGGGACCCTGCGAGCTGAGGTAGCGGCGGAGGGAGCGCGGCGGAGGCGGACGGGCCGCGCCCTGCCCCGCGGTAAGTGGGCGCTGGGCCCCGCAGCCAGCGGCGCCGTGGGCTCCGCTCTCCTCCCCTCCCCTGCTCGGCGCCGGACCCCCTCCCCGTTCCTCTCTCCCCCTTGTGCCTCCCGCTCTGCGTCCTGCCTGTGTTGGGGGTTGGAGGCTGCGGCGGGCTCTGGGGACCCGGAGCGCCTCACGCCATCGCCTGAGCGGTTCTCCTCAGCGTCGTGGAGGGGCCCCTCCGCAGGTCACTCCGGTGGCTGTGGTGCCGCTCTGTCGGAGGTGCTCGGGTGGTGCCTTGCACTCGGGCATCCACGGCGTGTTTAGCGGTGTTTCCACCTCAGGCTTAAAGTGCTTGCTGTCAGCCGGGGGAAAAGACAGCTACCCCGGCCACCTCCTCAGTGAGCAGCATCCCTCATTGCTGAGCAGGTCCCACAGGGGCTGGAGAGTGTGGTAGTTGCAGAAGTACACCGTTGGGTGTTACACACTGGCTTCTGTCTGTCCAAAACCATCAGGAGCTGTTGGTCTTGGGTTCACACCTCATCTTACTGGTGTCATTCAGCAAATGCTGTGCGACTTCATCACGTTTAGCCACAAGTTCCTCCCTGCCTTTTCCCTCCAACAGGTTCACTTGGGATCTGGTGGGTTCCTTGACAGCTCCTTCTCTGGGCAGTGAGCTGGGGTTTGGGGTGATGCAGCACAGCAGGGGCTGGTTTGGCCTGGCCTGCATCCCATTAGAGGACAGTCAGGAATGCAGGTGTAGCTGAGAGTGTGGAAATAAGTGGCAATCGCTCCTGCCTTGGTGATCAGACCCCAGCTGTAGAAGGACCATAATCAGCAGGCTCCCTGGCCAACTGGCCACTCTGGAGTATCTGTTCTGAAGCATTTGTAGTTTCAGACTTTCCTGCATCCTTTATTTGCTTGTGTTAAGGAATGTGGATAGCACAGGCTTGATCTCCCTTGACTTTGCGGCAGCGATGTGTGTGATCTGCAGAAGTAATCCTTGAAGGCGCCTCGGGGACGGGGAGCAGGGCTCTGCGATGCCGTGCCAGCATGCCTGGCATTGCGGGCTTCCCCCTGCGCCCTGCCCGTCCAGCCTTCACACTGCGCTCATCGCTCAGGCACGCCAGGGGCTTTGGTATCAGTTACAGCAGCAGCCCTGGCAGTTAGCTGTCTGCTGGGGGCTGGAATTAGCTGCAGAGCTAACACATTTGCTGTGTATGCTTGAAGCGGAGACTTGGAAATGCAGTCTTTGGTCGTTCACCACATGTGTTAAGTGTTGCAGAGTAAACCTGGGAGGTCAGAAAGTGATTCCTTGGGAGTTAATGGCAGGATTCTGTCATGGGACTGAAGTGCTCTGGTGTTGGCTGTCTTTTGTGTCCTCCACAGGCACACGGGTAGTAACAGCTGTCTCAGTTTTCTGGCATAAAAAAATTAGGCTATTGTTGTCTTCTGACAAGAAAATATTTAGGTAAAAATCGGGGTTTGCTGAAATTAATCTAGCTTTTAACTGTGCTTTGATTACCTTTATTTGACAGCAGAGGGTAAAAATTACTTGGTTTTTGCTATTAGAATTAGTCTTTTCTCAGACAAAAAAGAAGAGAGAAAAGCTTTGAGAAGGGTGAAAGAGGAGCACGCTAATGCTTATAAGAATCTGTTTAGTTTTAGCATAAGGCACCAAAATGAGGAGATAATAGCACTTGAATTTGTTTTGTGGATTTGGATTTTGTCTCTTTTTTTCTCCCCCTTCCCCCTTTTTTCCAAATTGCTAATTTTACACAGTCCAGCTTTGATTCTAAATGGTTTTGGTCACTTCTCAGTTTTGAAGAACAACTTAAAAGGGAAGTTATTCCTTTGGTCTATGCTAATGTATTTTGGATCTTGTTTTAAGTGTAACTATTATTTTGTAATATAAAAACATGCCACAAGGGATGCTTCTGAGTTTCGCAAATGATTTAGTGATTCAGCTGATGTCAGGTGTACTTGAGAAAGTAAGATTATTCAGCTGTTACCTGAGACACTTGAAACTGGTTTCCTTAGGGCAGAAGATAGCCTAAGGAGGAAAAAAAAAGCAAGGCGAATTCCAGCCAAAGGATCCCACAGTTTTGTTCTTGCCTCTCTTTTTTGTAATCCTACTGTCATTCAGTGGTGGGTGGATATTTATCATGGATTTACCACGTGAGGGCCAGCTACTGGTTGTCAAATAATTCGGTAATGACAGGATAATAACTTACGTATGCAGGGAAAGCCTTTTAAAAGAGAGAAATAGAACTTTCTTCTGCTCCTCTTAAGGCATATTCTGTCAGCCTCTTCAGAAGAGTGAATTTCTTCAGATTGCTTTCTTTTACACACAGCTGCACTGAAAGGCACTTACCTACTGGAAAAGGAATATCTTCGTTGGGGCTCTACTGATGTAAGGTACATGCATTCAAAATGATGCCTCAGGTCACAATGGGAATCCGATTTTAGGGATGGCATGACAAAGTTTAGGAATGTGAAGAGATTAGGCAGGACATGTTTCTAGTGCCTGAAACTGGAATCTCAGGGGTCTGTATTCTGTGTCTTCTGGTTCTGCTACAACTTTGTTACATGTTTGTAGGAAAATCATTTGCGCAGGATTATGCTTTGCCAGCTTGTGATGTCTGGGATGCGTAAAGAGGTGTTGGATACAGGTGAAGTACCATATCCTATGCATGTGCTATACTGTGGAGCATCATTATGAAAACACAGTACATAATGTGAATGTTGAGTAGAAGCTGGCCTCTACTGCTAGGAAACCTAGAGCAAAGAGACTGATACAGAAGAGATGGTCCCAGTATGGTATCGTTGAGGAGCAGACATGGCATCTTCTGTGGAAGGACACAGAAGGTTATTCATCTCCTCTGTAAAGCTTGCCTTGGAGCTCTTAAAGTTCTGCCCTGACCCAAAACTTACTGCAGCAGATTCCCCCATTGTCCTGGTTTTAATGAGACCTGATGCAGACCCCAAGTGGTTGGAATGGGCCTGGCTCTTTGTACTGATATTGTTTGGGCACATGCTCTACAAGTGTTAGCATAAAGAGTGTATCAGAAGACGAAGTTGATTGTTGCTGTTTCCTGAGATTGTGAATATACAACTTCTTTGTCCGAGTTAAAGGTGAATGACCATCTCTAATTCAGTCTGCTTTCACTGGCCAGCATAAGGAAATGCATTCACATTACATAATGAAAAAAATTTCAGGCTCTATTTCCTCCTTTGATATACTTGTTCTTTGTGCTTGCAAATGAAGTCCAACAAAAACATTGTAGTTTAAATCTTTGAATGTGGAATCAACTTAGTTTCCCAAGTATATAATATATATACTGGGGAGGGCTATGTTTATGCTTGTGAAGGTGGTTTTTTTTCAACTAAGTTTTAAGTGTGTGAAGGTTATCTGCTATTCTGTTCTCATCCTTACTCTGTGTATTTGCTAACAACAATTGTCTTGGATCACCCAGTGTATGATCTGTTTTGGGCTTGTGCTAACTGTTGTTGGGCAAAAGCCAGGGGGAGATTTCTGTAAAAAAGAGAAGTAATGACAGTGGAAGGCAGCATAAGATAATGGAAGTGATAGACATTAGAAACACCAGCACTACTGAAGGGACTGAACACTTAAGAACAGTTTTGTATTCAGCCTTCAAATACAAGGCTGTAGGCTGACTTGGATGCATGAATGATATATTTGAGATAAAATTGTGTGGATTCTATGCATCTGGAGAACTAGGTATGTTCTTTGGAGGATGCTGGGAAATGAGTAAACTTGTCAATCAAATGAGAAGTGACTGTGTTCCCACAGGCAACTTGGGTGAGTTCCCCATTCTCAAAGCACTGTTTTTAACTTGCTTCTCTGAATGACAAACTCTCTCTTTCTTAGAACAATGGTTTCCTTTCAGGTGTGTTTGCATTAATGTTGTTTATTGCCACGTACCTTGGATTCTGATGAAGGGAGTAGTCAGCTTGAGGGATTTACAGTCTGGGCAAGTCTCAGCAGTATCTCTTCATATGTGGGCATTTCCCATACTTGACTTCTGCAACTGCTCAGAACTTAATCTTGCAATTCAGGCTGAGCAAAAGGTTTGGGGTTTTCAGCAAGGCTTGTCTTTGTCCTTTGTTTTTTCTGAAGTCCGTCTGTGTTGACCTCAGTTTTACACCAGCACTTCAGAAACACATGAGAAAAAGGAAACTCTGCCTTATGGTCCCTTGGTTCATGGTCTGCCTGCTGACACTTTAATGAAGAAGCCTGTGATGCTGATTCTCAAGATAGATCTCTTTAGCAAAGTCCAGGTGCTTTGTTGTCAATAAGTTTGTCAAAATATTAATTAGCTGCTTTACTTCTGTCACCTCTATGTTTCAAGGTGTGTTTTGTGCTTCTGGTTCAGTATATGCCCAGGTACTTCTGGGAGAGGCAAGAACCCTCTTCACTTAGAGGTGCTCACCTCTTTCCAGATTTGGACCTTTGCGATTTGGCTGAGACTGAATAATTCTGATTGCTCAGTGGTAACTTTGGCCATGAATGAGCTACAATGGATCCAAAGTGACTTTTCCAGAAATGTGTTTTACTGATTCTTTGCCTATTCGAAGATCATGCTGAATGTCATTATTTCTTCATGTTCTAGTTGCATCATCTTTGTGCATCAATGAAAAGTCCAGGTATGGCTTTGTTCAAGCAACAGAAGGTGGAAGACATTTATGAAATCGGGGAAGAGCTGGGAAGGTAAGGTTGTGCTGATGACACCACAGTGTTCTATGGGCTGACACATGGGGGTGCGTGTTTACCACATCTTAAAACAGTGGCTCTGCATGATGGCCTAAAACAATTGCAATATGCAACGCCGCAAACACATCCCTGTACAAAAACTGCACTTGGGATATTTCTTTTTCTTTCACGTTAAATGTGCTAACTGGTTTTCTGTTTGTTTTCTTGTAACTAGGACAACAAGAAGCAAGTTTACATTGTTTTTTGTAGATAGATGTCATCTCTCTCTGTTCTCTAGACTGAGTTCACCTGCCTGTGCTCTGAACCAAGTAGGAAACAGGAACTCACGGTGCATTGTCATAGATGCAGCACTTAAATTTGGCTTGCTATTTGTAGCAGTGCTGCACAGCTGGCTCCCAGCACTGACAGAATATGTTCAGATCTGCCTGCAGAGCACTGTGTATGTATTCCTGAAAAGATTTACCTGTCAAAATTTCAGCTGGACTGGTTAACACCTGTATATAACCTTTAATCTAGAAAGGCTTATCTGCAGGTATTAATTATAGTTGGTGTTTGTGGGCTATTACCATGCTATAACCATAAGCACCTGCTTAAATGCTCTGCTGGATGAACCCAGGGCTCCCCCAGGATCACACAGCACTCTGGGTGAGGATAGCTGGTTTCCATTCAGTGTCCAAACCTCCAGTGATTTTCTTTTTAATATGCAAATAGTTAAATTAGGGCAATACACATGTTGGCTTCATTCCAGCATCTGGCAGTTGGTTTTGATAAATGACCGTGTATGTGCAATTACGCTTTTTCAAGGGCCACTGATTTAGTTACATTAAAACACTTCAGTTGAAGCTGTTTTCCTGCCAAAGCTTTTTCTTTTTTTTTTCCACTCCCCGCTATTTCAGCTTGAGAGGTGTTGAGAAGATTTCTCTGAAGGGGAGATGTTGGTTTGGGCTTGAGGTTTTTGTTTTGTTGGGTTTTTTTCATTCCCTTTCCTCTCAGGAAGGCCTCAACTATTGCATTTTCTGTAACTGCTCACTTTTGAGTAGTGACTGGTCCTGAGAACATCAGCCTGAGAGTGAAAATCTGACACGAGTGAGCAGTAAAGAGATTCAGTGTGTACGTGCAGGGTGTAAAAGGTGTGCTTTTTTTTTAACCTAGGAGGTATGTGCTGTAACAGTCCAACTGCTGAAATGAGAAACTGGAAGCTGCATAGCATAGTTTTACTTTGGTTCCAGAATTGGATTGGGAAATCCAGTGTCTTTTGAGATGATGAACCTCACTCTCCTTTTCAAGCTGATGACTATTAGGCCTTTTGAATGGCAAAGTGTAGTTGAAACAACCTGGGAAAGGCTGGCCCTTGCTATTTGATTCTGCCTGAGAGGCCTCAGACTGGTTAGGGCTTGCGTGGGCACATCAGCCCTTCTCTTTCTCTGGCTGCATGTCACAGAAACATGTGTTTCCAGTGTTATGCTGTGGAGCTGGTACTCACAGCATGTTGGATGATGGGCTGGGTAAAAGGGAGACTATGTTCAGACATAGAATTTGAAATTGTTGCCTTTTTAAGCAGATGTAGTCATATTCTCTGCAAGAAAGACCTTCTCTAGATAAGCCAGAAGGGGAGTAAGTGTATACATGAGGAGATGCCATCCTCATGTAACAGAGGGATATTAAGCTCCACTACAAAACCATTTTCTAGTTCCCATCTTGTAGATGAGAAATCCAAGTCTACTTGATGGCAAAAGTGTTCCCTTAAAAACCTGAAGGAAGAAGGCGAATCGTAACAAGCAGACCTCTGCTGCTGCTTGTGAGTTTTCAAGGAAAGCTCTGTGATGGTAATTTGTGAGAAGAGGGCAGCAAGATTGGAATTGGCTCCCTTACTTGGTGTTCAAATGACATACTTTATGCATGCCCATGAAAAATATGCCATGCTGTCTTCATCAGTGTATTTTCATTTTCAGATTTTGTGGGGAGCTCTGCTAGACCTATTCTTTCAACTGCATGCTGTATGTGGGGTGTCACTGGGTTATCATGCCTCTATAACTCTGAGTAGTAACTGGCTAGTGGCAGATGATACCTTGCTTTGTTTGAATGAAAATAACACAGTAGACAGGTTGTGGTGACTGAAACACAAGAATCCAGTGCCGAGTGATGTCCTTAGAACCTGTAGATGCCCTTTATTAGTTCAGTATGTTTGCAACAAGCTGTTAGTTGCTGTCAGGTACAGGCAGGTAAACGGATTAATCTGTTATCATTCTGGCAGCAGAAGTCTCTTAGAAAACAAAGGTTTTCAAACAGTGTCTGTGAAGAGTCTGTCCTGTTCGTGTCCTCCTAATTTAGTTTGTGGTTTCTGGAGAACAAAAGTAGTCATTAATACAGGCCTAATGTTTGTTCTAGCTTGGATTCAGTCTTAAGATAAAATACAGGATCTTGCTGGCAGAGCCAGCACCTGTTTATCTGAAAGTCTTTGCACAGCACTTGGGAAAGGAGGCTCCTATTATATACTGCAGATGCTCCTTTGCAAGGTTTGTATGTATCTGGTCTGCTGATGAAATTAGACCTCTCCTGTCATTGTGCAGCATTGAAGGTAGCTACAGCACAGGCTCTTCAGATCCTGCCAATGGTGCATTTGTGGACTCCTCAACCAGATCCTTCTCAGAATCACTGCTGAGCTAGAAGCACCTCAGAGGATGCTGGAAATGCAGTTGTCTTCTGTGCCAAGGCAATGTGTCAAAGAGAGCTCTTTGCAGAAAGGGGGAGCAGGTTTTCCATAGCTGCAGCTGTGTGCTGTAACTCGCTGCCTAGCTCCAACATTCCCTCAGTCTTTCAAGTATTAATCTCAGGTTTACACCTCAGTTGCTCAACTTCTCCAAAGGGTTCATACAGGGAACAAGAAGTTACGCGTGTGGCATTAGAGAAAAAAAGTTGCTGATGGGCTTGTTCATGATAGTGGCTACACTTGGGAAGCTGAGCATGGCCTGTGCTGAAAAAGTGCAGTACTTTGTTATCATGGATGTATATTCACAGTTACTTCCTGCAGGATAGATTCGGTTTGTAAGAGAGAAGTCTGTGGGGACTGAGCAGGAGCTGAAAGGGAGCCTAAAAAGAGGAGGAGCCTGTAGAGTGAATTTAGTGAATTTCAGTATCTTCAAATAAAGAAGAACCCTCTTGAGCTCTATAATACAGCTCAGTGCTACATGAATGAAATAGAATTTTCTTTATTTTTCAAAATTTATGCAAAGAGAAGGGAAGAATTCAGAAAATTCAAGTGAAGATGAAGGTGATACTAGTTAGTCTGGAAGAGCTAGAAAGCAATATGGCATAATGTAATTGGTGCCTGAAGAGGTATTAGAAGATTCTCTTCTCTTTCCCCTTCTAAGGGCAATGGATTGTGTGATTTGGGAGTAGTTTATACAATCCTCCCAGGCATTTAATGCTATCACTGTTTGAAGGCATCAGGCTTCCTGGCAGATTCAGTTTCTTTCTATGTTTGAGCTGTTGATCAAAACCAGATACTTAAAGAAATTATTTTCTGTGGAATGTTTTCAAAGTGTATCCCTCCTCAAATATGAGTTGTTGCTAAGTGTCACTTTTATTCAAGTAATGGCAGACTGCATCCTTTACCATTAATTTTAATAAACTTTGTAAGAAGCCTGTTAGCAGTTTTCCTTGTTTTCAGAAGGATCCTGGTGTAAGCCATTCGCAGGAATGTTTGTAGCAGATCCCTCTGGTAGCACACCAAAGCAATGGAGATGCTACTTGAAAGATGTGAGAAGGTGAAGGCTAACTTTACTTCTTGGGAATATGCATCAGGTCATATAACTGCTTGTTCTTGTGGTTAGGGAGATGCAGTAAGAGACAACCAAGAATGGAGACTCTTAATATGGAGGCCAAAGCAGGCCAAGAGAAGGAAGAACTGGAGTACTGTGCTAGTGATGTACTTTCCAGGAAAGCAGCAGCAGTAAAGCTTACTGGAGAGGCTTTCAACAGAATGTTTCGGGACTTGTGATTTGGATGGGTAGCTCTGTCTAGCTGGACAGAAGGAGTTCCTGTACAAACCTCAGAAGCCTTTTCCAGTTGTACTGACAGACACTGCTGGTGGTGGTAGGTGCCCAGTGTGTGCTGGAATTTCAGAGATGTACAGTGTAATTTATCAAAGGTTGTACCATAAAGTCATTAATCTCTTACGTTAATGTGTTGCCAGCCAGGCTGTAGATGGCTGTTGACATTTGTGCCTTCTGGACAGCATCACTGTTACATGTCAGGTTGGGGCTGAGGGTAGGAAACTTCATGGAGCTTGTTGGGAAGTGTTTCAGGACAGTGTCTGTTGAGAAGGCGTGTTCCCAGTGGGCAGTGCGAGATTGGCACAGCAATGTCCTGAGACAGAGTTCTGCTCACTGCAACTCAATTCTCTGCAGCATACTCCTTTCTCCAGCTTTTGTCTCCCTTTGCTGTGTTTTCTGCAGAGGAGGAGATATGGTATGGATGCAAGATGCATAGTCTGATGAACTGATCTTCATAGGAAATCAAAACTAAGTCTTTCAGTGTGTATGAAAACCAGGAAAAGCATTTTGTTCAAATGCTGCTTTGAAAACCTCTCTGCTGGGAAATGCAGACAATTTATTGCTGGTACAGGATGGTGGCCTCTGAAGAAGGCAGCTGGGCATGTCTGTAACACTGCAAGAGCAATGGTCCTTCGTGTCACTGATACAATAATTGAAAGGCCATTTTGGTGAGCAAGTAGAGTTATTCCCCTCCTTGCCCTCAGTGATCTAGTTTCATTTTAAAAGCTTTTAGGATTTGCTGAGCTCCAAGTCTTAATTGTTAAGTGTTTTGGTGGACTGGGTAGCTCATGTATCGCATGATCACATGTAGCAAACTTGTGTTTGTCACATGGATGAAAAAATAATGTGTTTGGTGCAATGTATGCTTCCATTTATTCTTTTGTTTTCATGGTGGTAACGTTTTTCAAGGCTGCTTCTCCATGGTTATATTTGCTTCCTATTTCTACATAACAATGTTTCATGTTCTGATGAGACTTTTCAATATATGAAATTTTGATTCACTCTCTGGACTTCAAAGGGATTGCTGGACTTTATTCCACTTCGAATAAGGTGCTTCAGTTCTTTGTGTAATTGCAGTTCAGCAAACTCTTTTGTACATCCTGAGTCTGCTAAAGAACAAAACGGGTTCATGCGTTAGGTGTTTGCTTTGGTTGAGGTTGGTCCCTTTTGCGTTCTATATAACCAAGCAGGAAGAAATTCCACATGATTCAGTCAATGTCTTAATGCAAAAGGTAATCACTGTGATTTCTGTTGACCAGTTTGGGCAGCCTTCAGTTTCTCAGCCCCTGCTGACGTGGGGTATGGTTTCATGATTAAAGCCAAGCTAGATCTTTTGTCAGGGATCTATTATGCCTCCTGTAGCCCCCCCCCCCCCGCTAAAAGT